TTATTGCAAGACATAGGTAAAAAATCAAAGAACCTGAAGCATTAGAATAGTGTTGATGTGTTGTGTTTGTGTAACATCAGGTGAAAATCAGTGATGCACAAGTTAATCCCTTAAAAAAGATTCCAGAGTTACGAAGGAGAAGAATTATGCAAATTTTAAAATGAAGTTTTAAGGGCAGATTATGCCTTTTCCCTTGAAGCAAGTAAGGGGTAATTCCCTTGTAATTACATGAGGATGAATTAATTACTTTCTAATAAACTCAAATAAAAACTTGACTACATAATACCACCTTCTCTTTTCTTAATTAAAAATGTCCAGGAGTATTTTCATAATACCCAGATTTCCTCCTCTTGTGAATTATTGATATATTTATGCTTTTTTACTAATACAAGGAAGTTGGGGTTACAAAACCTCCCTTAGGTGATGCATCTCACTATGGACTAGTCTGTATGAAGTTGTGCATCAACACCACACCTGGAGAGAACTCAAGTGCCCATCTTACTACAAAGGCCAGTCAACAGCTTTCTGCTAATTTGGGGTATGGAATAGGTGCATTTTGTGTTTTCCTGGTGGTGAATACATGGCTTCAACATGAAATGCGTTGTGCTGAGCAAGCTGTTGTTTTGACTACGTGGATTTGTCAGGTAGCTGACTGAGGGCAGGTGAGACACTTTCCATCTGCAAAAGAGACTCATAAATCTCTCTGTGTACTCAGAATTGCAAAAGAGACTCACAAACCTAGCTTGGAGTTTCCAGTCTTTTTCCATGCATTAAGTCCTTTGCTGCATATGTAGTTATGAACCGCATACTACTTAAGAAAATGTGGTTAAAACATTATAAGCATCTATGGACTAGGAGAATTTGATATCAATAACATGCTCAGGTATTTGTTTTTTTACTGCAGAGTAGTACTTTTACATACACAGAATACAGAGGCTCTTTGAATAGGTTTCATCTCCGCAATTTCTCTTGCATTGATTGTAATTATGCATATTTGTAATGTATGTACGTGGGAGACTATAAATACATGTTATTTATTTCAACAGCATGTTGGCAATAGTTTCAGATATGCATTCATTATTAGTGAAAATAACGTTAGTTTTGTGGAAGAACACTGTGTACTGTGTATGCTGTTACCATTAATACTTGCTTCATTGATTATCATCTGTATTGTAACATAGAATAGCAGAAGAATTAATAATGATTAGAACTGCAGTGTTCTGAGGGTTCATTTTGAATGAAGGTCATTTTTTAGGAATGGACCTGTGGTGAGGCTACATGGGAGACATTAGTTGGGTATTAATATGGGGCATCTGCATCACCATTAAAACTAGGAGAGGATCCAAAACCTCTCCTGTTCCCATAAATCCATGCACAAATTGGGTTGCATCTGCTACTTTCAGGGACAGAGGTGTTTGAATTCATAGTCCCACAGGCATGGAAGTGATGGAGGAAGAAGATTTCACTTCCTTTGAAGTCTGATTAACTGAATCTCACATAAGGGAAGTGAGTTTGACTCACTCGGAACATGACCAGGTTTTCCAGTAAACATGCTTTTCTGTTTGTTTTGGGATGCTGTCTGGTAGTGGGACATAGGAGTGAGCTATAGCTGTTTCCTTTTTTGAATAGCAATTCTTGTTACATTTCTCAATACTGCTCTGAAAAATAGGAGCTTGGCCTTCAAGCACGGGCTCAACAAATAAAGCTACAGGTGCGGAGAGCAGTTTCACATTTACAACATTTGTGAGGCTTTTTCAGCAGAAACCGATATTCATTTATCATATTCATTATGCCTCTCTGTCATTCACTTAGACCCTATATAATTATGTGTTTAATGATCTTTAACCTTCACATGAACACAGCTTGCTGAAGCTTGACAATTGCTGTAAATTATCATTCACATCTGGTAGAAGAAAGGAAATATTACTTCAAAAAAAAAAAATACTGTGCTTTCTGGCTTAGAATATCCCTTCAGGTCTGTAATTTAACTTTGTAAGTAGATGATGATTTAATCCTAAATCCAGACAATGAAATTATTTTGAAAAAATGGCTCTTTCATAGGTCATTTATTAAAATTTTTTGATAGCACGGTGTAAGAATTTCAAAAACTAGGAAAGATATTTTAATCGGTCAGCCTGAATGCTCACCATAGAAAGCACATATGATTCCAGTAAATGCCATATTTGGGTTTGGGTGTTTTGGGTTTGTTTTTGGGGTTTTTTTTTGTATTTTTAATTGAAAACTGAAAAAAACTTTTTTTTTTTTTTGCCACTATTAATTTTTAGGTAAAAACCTGATCTGCTAATCATACTCAGTTTCAACTTTAAGATTATAAACCGCTTCTAGCCCTTCCACTTTTTGTTTAATGTTTAGTCCTTCGTTTTACATTGTTTCAAATAGCAATATCCATTTCTTCTGATACAAATAACTTTAACGTATTAGAGGAAACAATTAATTGTAGTTATAGAGGTTTTTTCATTTTAACTGTTGGTATCTTACTAGCACTGCAGAAGTTATATAGTTGTATATTAATTATGCCAAAACTGATAGAGGAACTGTAACTTCAGTTGGATAATACAGATAAAACTTACATTGGAGATGATACTGGTAGCTTCTCATACTTATTAGCAAATAGCAAATTGGAGAACCTTTGAACATTCTCAAATATCTGTGGGACATCTAGTTGTTTATCCAGCCAGTGCCACCCTAGAAATTCAGGTTATAAACTGCAAGGCTCTGTGTAGTTGGGTAAACCGAGATGTTCCCAATTGTTTTGCTGAGCTGTGTGTGCCTAGACAGTGTTGTGATATTATACCACTGTAATTCAGCTGTGAATATTCTGACAGAATCTTCATATTCAATGTTAATAACATGTAGATTTTATTTAGGGATCAAACAGACACTTGAAGTATAAACAACCTGTTTAAAATACAGACAGATTCTGGATTGATCTTGACAGGCTCTGGAACCCTGAAAATAATTTTTTGTGTTCCTGACACCTACATTGAGTATAATCCTGGTCATAAGTACAAAAATTTTCAAGGCAAAAAAAATTTGTGTTAACGTATTAACATGTCTTATCGATTGAACAAAAATGCAGTACTAACCAACTGGAGAGTGCTGTTAACTTAAATTAACATAACATAAATTATGCTGATTGTTCTCAAGTAAAAGCTGATGGAAACTACAAAAAGAAAAATACAGGTTTTGACTCCGCAGTCACTTTATGTTTATGTGTATGTTCGTGTAGGTTGGGTAAGAAGAGTGAACTGCATTGCGTCATTCATATTCATGGACAGTTAAAGTGCTTTTAAAAAGTTGTTAAAACAGCGGTGTGGCGATAGCTCATGTGGTAATAATGTGTAGCCCAGCAAAACACAGGGAATGAAGTTACTTACACCTCTTGTACTCAGCGGGAGTTCTGCTGTTACTGCAGAGGAGAGAATACAATGGTGGCCCAAGATTGTATGTATGATAAAACAGATCAACTGGAAAATCAGACCTGACTGCTGTTGTCTGCTGTGCTCATTGCAACCATTCAAGATTCCTTTTTTGTAAGGTGCTGTTAATAAGTTTTATAAGCTTTTATTCCTAACAGCTAATTTGAAGATATAACTGTATGTGACCAATTATCTTCTGAAGAACCTGCAGAGCCTGCTTGTGGCATGACATAAAAATCTGCTTGTGGCTTGACTGTAGCTAGTGTTACAATGCCTTTTTCCACACCTATTTTAATATCTTTATGCAGGTTCTTATGTCAAATGACAATGTTGTCTGGCCCCTGCAACCACTGCTATCAATTGAAGAGCAAAATGCATAACCAGCAACAATTTTTGTTGAGCTGTCTGCACAAAAATGAGCAAACAGTAGTACTAGTAGTTACTGTAAGTCATGTTGCAGCTTACTTAAGAATGTATTTCCTTCAGCCTATCTTTTGTGAGGCAGAAATAAATAATAATAAATGCAAGTTACATTTTTAATGGTGTCTTATTCACTTCTTACTGCTCACATTGAGTGTGTTTGATGTAATATGAAATCAAATTTAAAGCACTATTACTGTATATTTATTGTCCAGTGTTTTTGAAAGTGTTGACACTAATACATATGGTCCACCAATTGGTGTGCTTGCCCTTGCAAATTAAAAATTTTAGGATATAATCTGATATTTAGTATTTGGCTCTGAGCCTCTAAAAAAATCAGTAGTAGCCCTTTGTCTCCAGTGCTCTTCAGTTCAGGCTCTTAAGTAACAAAAAAAATCAGAGAAGAAATACCTACTTTTCCCATCCTGTTTCAGGTTGTTATAATCCTATCTTGGTTTTTTGACAAGTCAAGTTCAATCTAAATAAAATTTTTTTCTAATAAGGCAATGAGGAGAAAAGGAAGGTATGTCTAAGGATTCTTCTTGTATTTCTGGAAACTTACTTTAACAATACTTTCTTTCAGGGGAAATACTTTCAGAGTAAAGATCTAAGAACCTTTTAAGTTCTGCTAACAGCTGAGTTATGATACTCAGTTCTAAATAGTTCTAATTTTCTATGAATGTTGTCCATTACAGCATTTGCATAGCTGCCAGTGTTCAGCCATTTTCAGTCACCTGAAAATAAGCTGAAAGCAATAACTAAAAATAAGAAACTAGATTTAAATATGTATTATTGTTAATCCTTCAGTTGCCCTTTGATCTAACAGGTTAAGGACATTTTGTGCTTGTTCATTTTGGCTGATAATAGTTCTGAAGACATTTACATTTTAGAACAGGGATTTAAAATATATATAACAGCTGCTTTTTAAATAGAAAGTCTAATTATGCCTATGATTACATTCACTTTTGATTAGTATGCATACGAATTCCCACTCTCCTTGTGTATTCAAGCTGCGATCTGGATCACTTGTGCTAAGATAAAAGTACAAAAGAATAGCTTGAGAAAATGTACGGTTAGACCAATACAAAAATATTTCAGGGTATAATTTTTGTCTCTAAAATGCTTTGTTTTTCCTTTTAGCTGCACACAGACCTGGATCCTGGCAGCAGCAAAATCAAGTATATTCTGTCAGGAGATGGAGCTGGAACAATCTTTGTGATCAATGACAAGACTGGAGACATTCATGCAATGAAAAGGCTTGACCGTGAGGAAAAAGCTGAATATACTCTAACAGCTCAAGCAGTCGACAGGGACACAAACCAACCTCTCGAGCCTCCCTCAGAATTCATTATTAAGGTTCAAGACATCAATGACAATGCCCCAGAGTTTGTTGATGGTCCGTATCATGCCACGGTTCCAGAAATGTCTGTTGTAGGTATGTATGTCTAAATGTTGACTAACTTTGTTTACTCACAGTTTAAACTATGCCAGAATGCCATTGAGTTGTTGATGAATAATAAGATATTTATTATGTTGTTAGCATTAATTTGCATATTTTCAAATCTCTTCTTGGCCAAAGCTTTCATCTGCAGCACAATAGTAGAGTCCCTTAGTAGTAAGAAAATGACTAACAGATGTATTAATGTGTCTTTCTTTGTCCAACAACACTTTAATGGGCTAAATTTATGTTACTCTTATGATGCTGTAGAGCATTGTTATTGAGAAGGATTTATCAAGATTTGCTCCAACATGACACTCTAATCCTACTGATATTTTGTTAATGTTTAATTATCAGTTTTTGTATTTTCATACACTGTTGTAGCACTTGCAGTATGTTGGTATTTTTTTCCTCTAAGTGCAACTGTAATCAGCCAAAAACATTGACGTGAAAGATTCTGTGTCTGGGAATTGATGGTTAGACTCCAGAGTGGACTTAACCAATTAGCAATAGGATTTGTGTAGAAGATGGAAGGGGAAAACAGAGAAAGCTGTGGGAAAAGATGGTGAAAAGGGAAATTAACTGTGTGAAAGCAGAGAAAAAGAAAGGAGTAGGAAATAATCTTCTTAATACATTTTACTTATACTTACTCATTTTGCTGGATTAGTGTGAATCTATTTCTTCATGGATTAATATATTAATTTTTTTTTCCCTGTATGGTTTGTCCCTTGTTCTGAATTTGAAAATGTATAAGTTTGTACTTAGAGAGGTACACATTTACATATTCAGGTCCTCAGTCCCTACTGACACATACATATCAGGTGATCTTTAGCTGTCAGTAAAGCAAAAAGGAAGTAAACCCATCAACCAAAAGACTCAATTTCAGGGTAATGTAAGAATTCAGTAAAAGCAAAGACATCAAAATCTGGGCATGAAATGCAGAGTAAATTCTAATGTTTTCTAGTACTAGGTTGAGAATAATGTGCTTTTCAGCAAGCTGTCTGCGTCTGTCAAAGCAAGATAATTGAAGGAGTGCCAGGGCACTTTGTAAAATAAAGCAGCACCCTATCAAAAAGTTTCAAAACCACCATTCTGTCTTTTTAGTTAAAAACAGGAGGAATGGGAGGAGCCGGAACCATTGTTTCTCTCACATTCAGTACAATAAGTTGTACCAGGTCATTTTCAAATGTAGGCATAGTGTGCTGGCTACACAGTGATAACCAAGGCTTCAATTTTTATCAACACTTCTCCAAGAAATTTTCATATCTTGGTTGCATTGAATCGCTTGTGTCGAAACTGATACATGAATTTTCAAGCTTGCATATCAGTTCTTTTACCAAAACATAGGCTTCATTTGTTAAGTTACTTCTAATTATACAGCAGCAAAAACATAATGTGGACCTGCTTTCAGAAGATATTTCTGCCAAGCTCTAGGCAAGAAAATGGCTTAATTAAATAAAATAAATTAAAAAAATGGAAATGGAGGGAGGAAGGAAATTGAAGGCAGTTAATCCTTATATGAATGGGACTTGTTTGGTATTCTAGGAAAAAAGAAAATGAAGATACATGCAGACAAGAAAAGATGGTTTCTGATCACAGAGGCTATTACAAAAATAATTCATATCTGTACATGTGAACAATATTTATAATCCCTAGTAGAAACATGGCCCCTATCCAAGGAGTATTAACTATAAAGAAGAAGAGGGAAAAAACAAAACCAAAAACTTTGACAGGAAACTAGACCAGGTGAATAAAAATCTAGTGAGTGGGTGAGGTTTAAAAGATCTCATGAGATCTTTTAATGAGAGCAGGAGGATAAAAGGTAGAACATTAATGAAAGAGGGAAAGTGAAATAATTGAGAAAAGTGTTAGGGTGAAAGAGCAGGGGAAAATGTAAAGAAAGATCATGAAAGATAATTAAAATGTAGAACTTCATCTGGGAAAACTTTATAGTAGAGGATTGTAGAAGTGACCAACGTCTGGACGTAGATGCCAGTTTAGGGAATAGTGAAAGAGGCTGGCTTTCGGAGGATATTCTTTCACCTGCTTTCCCTAGCATGGGGAAGAGGGGTGAAGAGAAACAGTTCTTCACTGAACTGCCTCTGAAATCATGTATTTCCACATTTTCATGTATTCTTAAGCTGCAGGGAAGAGTTTGGTCCAAAATGGGTTTATTCTAACTACACAAATATAGGTAGAATTTTTTTATGGATTACCTCAGAGGTCTACTGCATATTACCTTTATTACTGCAACTATGCAAGTTTTACACATTTATCCTTTATGATCCCTGAACATTGCATGGAGGTTTTTTATGTGGCATTCCTAGAGGTGTATGTTTTCAAGCTGTTTCTCTAAAGAAGCACAAACATACACTTCTTTTGTTGGAAAACAAAACCTAATTCTCATCTGTGGCTTCAAAATTTAGAGTGTTTACCATTGCATAACACAGGTCATGAATGAGCAGCATACACAGTCAAATCTGCAGCTTAATCCCTGATGGAACCAAATTTCAAGGCTGGAAGGTTGAAGATGAGAATGTAACCCCTTCACTAATGTTGCTGTAGCTATTTCCTTCTGCCTTCTTTTCTTAATCCACAGGTAGCACCATGGACAGCTGTACTAAATGGTGGTCCATAAAGTATTTTAACTTTCTTGAAATTTTGTTAAAATGACTTTCAACTCCCCTATAATCATAGAATCATAGAATAGTTAGGATTAGAAAGGACCTTAAGATCACCTAGTTCCACCCCCCTGCCATGAGCAGGGACACCACACACTAAACTATGTCACCCAAGGCTCTGTCCAACCTGGCCTTGAACACTGCCAGGGTTGGAGCATTCACAACTTCCTTGGGCAACCTATTCCAGTGCCTCAGCACCCTTGCTGTGAAGAACTTCTTCCTTATATCTAACCTGAACTTCCCCTGTTTGAGTTTAAACCCATGACCCCTTGTCCTACCACTAGAGTCCCTAATGAAGAGTCCCTCCCCAGCATCCCTGTAGGCCCCCTTCGGACACTGGAAGCTGCTCTGAGATCTCCACACAGCCTTCTCTTCTCCTGGCTGAACAGCCCCAACTTTCTCAACCTGTCTTCATTCGGGAGGTGCTTCAGCCTCTGATCATCCTCGTGGCCTCCTCTGGACTTGCTCCAACAGCTCCATGTCCTTTTTGTGTTGAGGACCCCAGAACTGGACACAATACTGCAAGTGAGGTCTCACAAGAGCAGAGTAGAGGGACAGGGTCACCTCCTTTGACCTGCTGGTCATGCTTCTTTTGGTGCAGCCCAGGATACAGTTGGTTTCTGGGCTCAAGCGCACAGTAAGGCCTGCTCATGTCAAGCTTCTCATCAAGCAACACCCCCAAGTCCTTTGCAGGGCTGCTTTGAATCTCTTCTCCACCCAGCCTGTAGCTGTGCCTGGGGTTGTGCTGACCCAGGTGTAGGACCTTGCACTTGATTTGGTTAAACTTCATAAGGTTGGCATTGGCCCACCTCATGAGCATGTCCAGGTCCCTCTGGATGGCTGTCTCCTTTCTGAGTTAAAGGATTTTTTATTTTTTTTTTTTTTCGTTACACTGAGTATTTCACTTCTATTATCCACTTACTTAATTCTCCTGAAAGAGATCTCCACCCACTGCTAATTTCAGCCTTGACATTTCTACAACACAGTCATTACTAGGCAGTGTTCTTATTCAGGATAAAGCAAAATTCTGTTAAACCCCTTCTTTCCTCAAAATGCAATTCTGACTCCTGAAACAGAAGAGGAACTCACATGCTCTATATATAGTACTTATGTAATGAGGATGCAGTACAAGCCATTTTATTTTTGGACGTCTGTGGAAAGCAATGCATGAAATACAGATGAACACATTAACCTTTCGTTGCTCTGTAATGTAAAGTTCAGGTTCTAACACAATGCAGTTTTTCTACTAGGTGGAATAAATACTGGTCTTCTGTTCCTTGCTAGAAGAGATGTATTATATGAACATCAGTGGTATTCTTGCACAACTATCTAGAACATGAATGCCACACAATGGGGATGTGAAAACTGAATGTTCATTCAAACTCTTTGTATGTGGTATGTATGAATGAGTGTGAGTGCGCCGGTATATGAAATTACCACACATATAGGGCCACATTTGAGCCTGTTTGAGTTTTATGTTATGTATCAGTGATATCTGGAAAATCCTGCTTCCCTACTAAAACAAAAGAAATGAATTAGCATGGCTTTCCTCCCACTGCTTGGTACAAAGACGATTAGTATTGCACTGTGTTATCTCCTGTAGGAATGATGCTCACTTTTCAGCTGTCTTCACCGCACACACCCCCACATGCATACTGAGTGCTGTGTATCGTCACTGTGTTCAGACTTATTTTGAAATCATTTATTTCTCTCTTTGAGAAAAGAGGAGCACATTCCAGAAAAAGTTTTGAGAACTAAATTGATTTTCCCCTTATTTCATCCTTGTGTTCCTTTTTTTTTTATGTAATTCCTATATAATCTACCTTAGTAAGCCCTGTTCTTTAACTCCAAAATGATGAATTTGCTTGTGAGAGCTGATAGTGTATATGGAGAATATATTCTTTGCTGAAACTGAGCACTTTAATCTTTTAATTCTGATACTAGTTTTCTTAAGGAATTAAAGATCAAAAAGTGAAATCTGTGGAATCACTTCATTTGGACAGTGTTGCATTTCACAAATAGGAAATAATTTAATTTGCCTGTAAATCTTGCTTAATTACTTTTAGATTTAAAGGGACACACTGAGAATGAAACCCAGTTAAAACCTTTTAAAAAGAGATTCAGCTAAGCTTCTGGGAGGAAGAACCCCGTGACTCTTCTTTTTTTTTTTCCATCCCAGTTGTCTGTGAGCTCTGTATACATGCCTGCAGTGAAGATAGCATATTATGTAAATGAATGAGCAATCTTAGAAGATCCACAAGGGTAATTGGAACTGGTCCTGTAGCTTATTTAAGGAAAAGAAAAGAAATCCAAAAC